GAACGTCATGGCAGGGACCGTAAAGGCCATCCACTTCCTATTCCCCCCCGCCGTGGGCAAGGACACCCACTAGACCAGGAGGCTCAAAGCCCCAGCCAGTCTGGCCTTGAACACTTCCACTGATGGGGCATCCAAAGCTTCTCTGGGCAACCTGTTCCAGTGCCTCACTACCCCTATAGAGAAGAATTTCCTTCTTATATCTAATTTAAATCTACTCTCAGTTTAAAGCCATTACCCCTTATCCTGTCACTAGCCCTTGCAAAACTGTCCCTCTCCAGCTCTCTTGAAGGCCCCTTTAAGGTACTGGACAGCTGGTTTAAGGTTTCCCTGGAGCCTTCTCCAGGCTGAACAACCCCAACCCTCAGCCTGTCTTTATAGGAGAGGTGCTCCATCCCTCTGACCTTAATGGCCTCCCTTGCACCAACAGGTTCATGTCCTTCTTACACTGGGGACCCCAGAGATGGATGCAGCACTCCTGGGGGAATCTCATGGTAGCAGAGTAGAGGGGCAGAATCACCTCCCTGGACCTGCCGGCCACACTGCTTTTGATGCAGCCCAGGACACGGCTTTCTGGGCTGCAAGTGCACACTGTTGTGCCATGCCAAAGTTCTCATCCACCAACACCCCCAAGTTGGCTGCTCATGTCCTACAAATGCAGGAGATACCACACACTCATGCCACTTCCATCACTCACAGTCCTCTGCACGCAGGTCACATGCTGTTCTGTCTGAGCTCAGTAGTACTTAAAGAATGAAGAAGGGAATTAGATAAACTTTTTTTCTCCTTTTTGTATTTTTACTTTTAACTGTCTGCAGACACACCCTTTGCTGCTATGTGTTGGTGTTCACTATTTTATTGCATGTCATTTCCAGGGACCCACACACTGCCTGGTTAAATGAGACATCCTGAAAAAAAGAAGTCCCAGTGAGGGTATAGTATGTGCCGGCAAGATAGGTACAGTGGGAGGGAAATGCCTATGGAAGTCACTAAAAAAATGAAAAAAAGACAGTGACAAGTATGCTCATAGTTGTGCAGCTGCTCTGAACTTCAAAATATTTCATCTGTGGGCTGTCTGCTCCAGAAACCTTTGTACATCTCTGGAGTATATAGGATATCACCACCTTTGGTAGGACATCATCCTGTTGATTACAAGAACCGAGAGCTGGAGATATGTGGCAATTTCTGTGGGCTTCTTTTTAGTTTCTGAGGAAAAGTGAAGAACTTTCCTCTGGCAACTTTCAGTTACAGAGTGAGCAGAATAAGTCCAGTGAAACAAGCCCATAAATGATGCAAAACCAACTAGGCTGCAAGAGGATGCTGTATTTCAGATATTTGCTGATACATATTCAGCAAATATATATCAGGGGCCAGTCTTCGGCAAGTGGTCAAGCTCTCGCTGTCTTCAAAGAAAAATCTTCTGAGGTTAATTTAACTTCTAATTAATAAATGGCTTCTGTGGAAAACTCTTCATTCCAGTAACAAGATGAACAAGAAGGGGAGATGATGCAGTTCTGACTCTAAAGAAACCTTTTCCTCTTGTGTGTGCATGACTGCCCTACAGATTTTCCTTTGCAAAGGGTGGGCTTGAATGTTGTTCTGCTTTGATTTTTAAAGATAGAGATGTAACCAACCTTTGCTAATCTACTTGCAACTGGAATATGAGAGGGCAGCCCACCACAGCACCACCAGTAGAAACTGAGCTCACCTGAGCAGGGGGTATTGCACATGTGCTTGGCCCCCTGCCACCACTGTGCCACCAGCAGCTGTTGGTCTGTAAGAGCCATGATTCTGATTCAGAAAATAAGAGGATTATATAGAGAATGCACATTATAGGGAGTGGTCCTTTTATTCTTTAATTGAACCAAATATGAAAAACACATGCAGTATGTCTTAACTTAAAGAAGTCCGACACAGTATTTTCTACTGTTAGAAATATATTCTAGTATGCTTCTGTGCATTGTTCTCTATATATAGAAGCACAAATCAAGCCCAACGTATATTTCCATAAAAATGACAGAGGAAAATACTCCATGGCCCAATTTGTGCCATGGTTTTAACCATATTTAATCAATGGTGACCTTCTCCTGAACAGAAATGAAGTGCAAGTGAGCTTTCATACAGAAAACTTGGGAAACGAGCACAGTCTTAGGGCCCTCTCACCACTGTTACTGCCCTAAGGGTGAAAATGCAGACACTGGGAATGGCCAAAAAAAATACTCTGCTAAATATGACCTTGTCTCTTTTCTGGCTCGTACTCATATGAGTGCAGGTGACACAGCTGCACACACGTCTCTTGGGATGAGGACCAGCAGGTGGGCAGTGGCAGGCAAGGTGTGCTCTGTAGCAGCAGCTCCTGTCCTGTTTTGATGCTGTCAATAGCTGTAGCGGGCAGAACTGCTCTCACAGGTGGCCTGAGGGTGCTTCTGGCCACTGCAGATACAGCCAAACAGTCCTGCTTACCTTACCTCTGCTGCCAGGCACGCTCACATGGAGCTTTTCCCTGCTCACTGAGGCAGAAGCAGAGCTTTAGGCATGTGGCCATGCTCATCCTAACCTCTAAACTCTGGCATTCACGTGGACCTGCTCACTTTAACAAAGCTTGTTAAATGGAAATGCCCACCCCATGTCCCCTCTGGACTCACAGAGCCCCAGGCTGTGTCCCCAAAAGTTATTTGGTCCAGAAGGCTTCTTTCTGTTAAAAGAATATGTAATAAAATGGTTTGGGTTGGGAGGTACCTTAAAGACCATCTAGTTCCAACCCCCTGGCGATGGACAGGGACACCTTCCACTGGACCAGGTTGCTCAGAGCTCCATCCAACCTGATCCCAAACATTTCCAGGGATGAGACATCCAGAAATTCTCTGTGCAACCTGTTCCAGTGTCTCACCACCCTCACAGTGTAACATTTCTTCTTAATATTTAGTGTATTATCTCCTTTTATAGGAAAAATTAACGGAAAAGCAAATATGCAAGAACAGGGCAAGTGGGTGTAAACACCATGTGTTCTAAAGAAGGCCAGAGACTCCTTAAACAAATTTGCCTAAAATAGAGGCAGAAGAATTATTAACTAGCTGTTGTGAATGCCTTCAGGGGTTAAGTGCAATGGGAAGGGAAATAACTAGATAGAGAGCAACATCAGCACAAAAATCAAATTAATATAATCTAGCCAAGAAGAAATTCAGGCAGTGGCTTTGATTTGTAACCCCTTAACCCCTGGAGCATGGGAGGAGTGGGACAGACTTCCTGTAGGAAGTGTGGGCGCAAACGATCCAGAAAAACCTTAAGAAGTTGTAAGATAAATCATGAAAGAGGTTAAAAGATACAGTCGGATGCCCCAGGACAGGACAGAGCTTCATATCCCAGGCAGCATTTTCCATTCTTTCTTGCTACTTTGCTTTCTTGTGGGGCCCTTGCAATGAAGTATGGAAGGCTAAAAGACACCCACACCATTCCCAACCTGTTTTACCTAAAAGCATGGCTAATCACAGAGAAGACAGATATAGGTGAATGAAAAAGAAATAAATTCCATTTTTTTAAACCTCATACAAAGATTTGTTCATCAAAAGAATACTTAATGGATTTATTATCCGAATGTTCACAGGCTTGAATGTTGTTACCAGAATGGAAGCACATTTCAGAAAAGAAGTGGAGGAAGTGGCACTGGACACATGCTCTGTGCCTACTGAAATAAAAGAAATAATCTCAAATGGAGCGATCTTCAAAGCAGTCACTTAATTTCAGAGTCACAAGCAGGTTGTGGCTATGGTGGGAAAACCTTTGTAGGAATATGTTCAATGAAAAAAATCTGCATAACAAGATGACATGGGAGAGACTGGAAACTGATGGGATTGTTTGAACTGGACCATGTTAGCCAGGTTCCTGTCTATAGCAAAGGGCTGGGAGGGCCCTGGAGAACCTAGGTGTTGAACCTGCTTCTACCATCCTGTTTTTGGGAACTGCTGCACATGATCTGTCACCGTAACTGTTGAGCCCAGCCTCTGTCCAAGTGTGCAATTTAGGCAAAGCTTTATCATAAGCCACTGTTGTGAAAGAAATGAGACATGTAAAGGGAGGTGGCTGCTTCTCAGAGAGCTGAGCCCTTCACCTGTCAGCCGCCCTCAGACAGCACATGGATACTGGCATATTTGACAAATAAAGAACAACTTCCAACTCCACACTCTCAGCAAAATTACCAGGTTCCTCAGTGTCCTTGCCCAGGTTAGGTCACTCCAAAGTTCAATTCTAAAATTGTGGGTTTAAGCTTTCCTCTCCTTCCGCCCTCCCCCAAGCTAAAAAGAGACGGGAACATTTTTATTCTTTGTAAGGGGATTACACACAGTCTCACAGGAGTTGACCTTACAGAAATGTCATGTAAGACTTTTCTCAAACTTCTTCCAGTCTTGGAAAGGACAAACTGCGTGGGGGAAAAGGCCACCTGCTCCAAGGATCAGGTGCAGGTGGAGGTAGCACAAACCTGGCTCCAGCAATGAATGGTATACCGCCATCTCTCTCACCAGCCCTAATTGGTTTAACTGACTACCAATTTAATTTGGTGATAACATTGTTTTGGCAACTTGATACTTTTTCCCTAATTAAAGACCTGAATTTTTAGAAACCTTCCCTGCTTCAGTAATGCACCCAAGCCCCTCACAGTTAAAAATCTGAGCTATCTATTGCTGTAATTATAACTAAAAAAAAAAAAAGGAGATGATAATGTAGAGGTTAAGTTATATTTCTAAATTAATTTTGAAAAAAGGCATAAAATTAATTTTAAAATATGATAAATTACTTAACTAAATGGAATAGGCAGGGGATAACTTGAAATTATGAGGGTGCAGGAGGGATTCCACTTAAAAAAAACAGAAGTTCTTTTTCTGAAGTATCATACAGTTACCACTGTGAAAGAAACACCAAGAAAATTTTCTCCTGCTGAGATGGAAAGCCAGTCAGTAGATAGCTTTAATCATTATGGAGCTTACACAGAGAAGCTCAAAATACAGCTTTTTATAGCTGCTAATAAAACACTGGCCTTCTCTGACCCTTATGATTCAAGGACTTCACATATTAAAAAAAGAACCCATCACACAATTTAGACATTATTTTCAACAGTTTCTTTTGCAGGGTTCTGTTGGCCATTCTACACCATTCACCATTTTCATTACCCTTACACTACAGGTCTTTGAGAAAGTGGGGGCTGTGAATCTACATCTTGCAAAGATTCCAGGCTAAATGACTTTCAGAAAAGTGAGAACTGCAGTTTTAATTATGTTTAGGCTCCAATTAACTTTTTGAGGTGGGAGCCCAAGTCCCTTACAACTTGATCCATGAATAGGGATCCTGTTTGGTATGAATGGTCTGTTTTCATCCCCTCCTACCAGTGTGGAGCTGCAACACATCAGGCAGAGCTATTTATTTTTTAAGTGAAGCACAGTCTGCAGACTGTAAAAGGTGGCATGGGTAGCTGTCAAAAAGAAGTAGACAGTTAACAGGGAAAGTGAATACCAGCAAGCCTCAGAAATCAGTTTTAAGCATCAGTTAAAACATTCTGAAATGCAGTAACTCTGTAGAGCCCTCTGCTCCTTCAGAGATAAATGCTGCCTGTTCTACATGGGAACCCATCCTTCTTCTGATGGATTTTAGAGATGCATTCCACTACAAGCAACATTTTATCTGCCTGTGTGGACAGTATCTTTTTCCAGTGTTTTTAGTGTCAAATAAAGGTTTCTGAGCATTGAAGAATTTCTTTCACTCCAAGTGTATTATACAGGAAAACACACATGACTTTTAGAGCAGTACACTCAAAAGGCATTCAAAATAATATGCAGAAAATAAGGCAATAAACAAGAGCTTTTTCACGAGGTGTCAAGGCAAGGAAAAGAAAATACAGCTTGTTTATTTTGTGGAAAAGTGGGGGGAAAAAGTGACTGCTATCTTCTTAAAATTAGGACAGTTGAGGATTATCACAGTTCTGCTGACAGTGCAGACACAATAATTAATGGGATTATAAATTAAGCAAAGGAGTGTTTTTTTCATGCCGCTAGATGGCAGAAAGAGCCCTTTTACACTCCATTTGCATATCTACCCCATTTTGAACATATTCTTCCTTGTGTGACAGAACACCTTCACCATTAATATACAGGATAAAAAGAAAAAATCTACTCAATGGGTGCCAGTGCTAAGTAGATTCAAATTGTTTTGAAAATTGTTCAGCAATATATAATTTTTAAAACCATCTGTTTACCCTGAATCCTTTTTGTAAAACCGGGAAGACCTGTATGAAAAGAAATTAATTTTACTTCCCATTTATACAAAGGGCACAAGGTTTACAAGACTTCCAGCAGTCTGATGGGAAGCAAAGTGCTAATCATCATCATCATCATCATGCTAATAATTTTCTGCAAATTGTTCAGAAGAGACGCATTAGCAGATTCACATAATTAAAAGGAATAGCAATCCTCTATCTGCAGGAAAGAGAACTCTATTTCTCCTGGGCTAAAACTGTTTTTCACAGTCTCTCCAGGAGCAGAAAAAGACCAGAGTAAAAAAGGTAGAGAACTTTGATTAGTTCCTTAAACACCATATAATTTGTGTCTCAGCATTTAAGTCTGAGCTGACCAGCATCTCACTGTTTTCTATATTACGTGTTATGTAACATAGACATTATGTTACTTCTCTGACTCGCTTCCAGTTCAAACTCATCATGAAAAATATAGTAAGCAAAAAATCTTAACAGCACTGCTCTTCTCCCTCCCTCAGGCCAAGGGCAGCACAGCACCTCTCAGCTTGCAGCATCCTTGAAAATAAACATGCTGCACTGTGCAGCTGCCACTCCATCACACTGCTTCTGCACCTTTCACCTCCTTTCTCCAGGCAAAGAAAGGAAATATATTCCCACCTCACTCTCACTTTGGTCTCTTTCTGTTGCCTCTCTAAGGCTCTCCCAACAAGTTACTTTTCCTGGACACAGAGCAGGCTTATTGTCTCCCCATTTCCTCGCATTTTTCAGAAGCAATCACTTGCTTTTCCATCTTCCAAGTGGTAAAATAGATAAAAATTCAATGTGCTGGATACATTTTCTTTTCCTCTTGCAGTTCCAGTTAATCTGTCCATCTATTACACAAAAGTCTCCTGAGCAGCACTGGCCTTACCTGTACTCATAGAACATGAATGAACATAAACTCATAATTACTCCAGACACAGTAAAGAATTTAATCTCTGTTGTTAGTCAAGATCCATTCAGAAAATCAAGTAGTGTCATGCTTTAAGTACTTTAGGATACGCCAAACCCACTGTCAGAGGTGTTGACTGTGCAGACTACATTCCTGTAACAAATATGGTATGCTAACCAGGTGGTTGTCTTCGGAAAAATGCAGAGATTAACTCGGCAAAACTCCTTTCTCAGTTGATTACTTTATTTCTAAGTGTGATATCACAGGCCTCCAAGGGGACTCAGCCAATTCCCAATGCAAAACAGACGTCCCGGCCCCAAAATAATTAAAGCAGCATTTCCTTGCCTGGTGTGTCATGATTTGTTATAGTCTAGCATTTCAGGGTATAGATACTCATTTGCATGCACCTGAATTTCATATCATAATGCCTGTAAGAAAGGTATCTTTGTGATCATAAGCTACACACATACCTCTGTCTTCCTTTACTCAGCCTGCACTGGACAAACTTGCCTTTCACAGCTTCACACAGACTTTGCTCTACTGATTTTGGCTTTTGATTTGCTTTCTGCTGCTCCTCTCTTTTGTAGCTTACCATCTCCCCTGGACAAGCTGCAGTATTATGAAACTGTTTGAAGGATGAACCAGGGGAAAATTACAAGACAGAGAACAGCACTAATACTCTGAGCCTGAGCATCTCTTCCCATCCCAAACTAACAAAGGTCAAAGAAGGACACTTCCAACTCCTTACTCAATGCCTGCTTCCCAGCAAGTGTTTAAGATGTCTCTCACTTCCATAGAGACAAATTTCGAAAATTTAAGCCTCTCCCTGATCAGTAATTCCTATATTGACAGAAAATGAAGCAAAATGCCAGCTTTGCAAGAGGAGAAACTTTAGTAGTGCCTTCAGTGAGGATGGCTCAGAAAAGGTGCAGCAGCAGAAAGGAAGACTTCCTCTTCCCTTAACAACATCCTGGGGACTCGGCTGTCCTGCTGCCTGGGTTGCAAAATCCACAGCAGATGTGCACAGGATCTCCAAAGCTATCCTCACAGAAACAGTTCCTACAGCCCAGTAATCTCCCTTCAACTGCAGCTGGCACAATAACACAAGGCTCACAGAAGTGACTATTTTAGGCTCTTCTGCTAAACCTCACAAATGCCTTCTACTGCCCTTTCCTCCCAGAAAACTGACAGTCATTTGTAAGGGCCAAACAGTGATGTTAGTCAAGTACAGGAACAGATTTATCCTGGAGTGGGTAATTTTGGGGTTTGGCATTTTTCATCTTGTTTGCAGCCCTCAGAGGATAGGGTAGATGGGAAAAATTAGCTCTCTTTGCTAAGGCCAGTCAGCCTGCAGCTGAGGTGGCAGACAGCAAGCTTCTGTACCAGCTTCCACATTGCTAAGCACTGGAGAGAGGAACAAGCAAGGACAATAATCTGCTGAAGCCTGGATTCCAGCACGATCTCACCCTCCAGCTCACCACGGGCTCTGGGCCCTTCAATCCGCAGCAACTATGAAGAAGACACTGAAAAAGGTTGGAGGCAAAGTTCTTGCAAGCAGAATTGAGCAAGAAAGCTTTCCTAATAGGCATTATTGAATTATTTCCTTGCATCAAACTCAAGGGATAATATTTTCCCCAGGAAACTTATTGGAAAGAAAACAAAACCCATACTCGGAGTGCTTACCTTCCTCATTCTCCGACACCATTTCAAATCATACCTTAATGGTCTTGCATCCTGGTTAGCTGACCTATGCTTGAACACCTCCATAATGAATTCATCCATGTACTGAATCGCCACTGTGTTTATCTTAGAGTATACATCCCATGTTTTTGGGGACAGGATGCTTTACACTTCTCTCCCATTCAGCAATTGGAACTGCTGAACACCCTAACCTGGAGGAAAATTGCAATAAGATACTTTCAAAATCAAGAGTTTGCAATGATTTTCCCCTGTGTCCTTAACCCAGGAGGAAGCCTGCAGTCCCCTAAGCCCCACCAGCCACAGCACAACACTGTTTCCATCTCAGTCTGAATCTTCACTTGGTCATTGAAGCCAGGCTACAACACACACTCATGTTGCTAAAAATTCAGGTTATAATGGTGAAATTCAGACAGAGCAGCAAACTCAGTGGTCAAGTTGACTTTGCTATCCTCTTGCTTGCTATTTTAAAAAAATTAATGTCTGAGCCCTTTAGAGTTACTGAATGTTATTTCCATTATTGCAGGTTTGGAGCACTACCCAAAGAAATTCAGGTTCTTTTTCTAATGAGCATTGGGTCTTCTCAACAGAGACCTGCACAATCATGAATGTAATGTTCTTCCATGGCAATCAGATTACATTTCAGTCTTCTTTTTGAAGCTATAAAGATAAAAATGATTTTTTTTCCCCCCAAATGAAAACCAGTGCTCTCACATAATCTTACCCCTGTCAAATGCTAGAGGCTCATCACAGACCAAAGCTGGAGTCAACAGCACTGCAAAATGGTACCAATCTAAGATGGTATAATGGATATAGCTCATTTTATGCTATAAATGTTGACAAGTATTATGAATTATGAAAAGCTCACCACTAGGATGGCACAGTATGGTAGTGCTAGTGGCTTTTTGTCTATAACATACAGATGTGTTTTATATAACACAAAGCTCTGCTTTAGCAGCAAAAACATTTGCCCATGAAACCGCAGTACCAAAAGTAGTTTTAAATCATCAGAGGATGGATATTATTGTCATTGGTACCAAACCAACTGTTTGCACGAGATGAGCTGACAAGTTCAACCTGCCATACAGCTGTTTTACAACTGCTGTGTTCAACAAGCACATGCTTTGCAATGATTAACATTTGCCAGATTTTGTCAGCTCAAGAAATCAGGTTCAAATAAAAAGTTCTGTCCTGGTTAGAACGGTTGGGACCAATTCATCACTGGATGGGTGTAACCCAAAACTGTGTATTCTATAGCCTCCATGCCATTTCCCAAAAACTGTTGTCAGTAGAGGCCTGCAAGGTGGGAAGATGTTCCTGTACCCTTCTATGGAATTCCCCGCTCTGATACCCTTATATGGAATTTCCCGCTCTGATACCCTTTTATGGAGGAGGGACTGAGCATCCACATGTCCTTTTATGGAATTCCCTACTCTGAGGGAGGGACTGAGCACTCCCGCCTGAACTGGAGAGTATATAACTGGGAGTTTCAGAACCTTGCCACCTCTCGTGGGATCCAGAGGAAGATTGCAGACCACTGCCTTCAACCAGACTGCAGACCACTGCCTTCAACCAGACTGGGACCACCACCCTCGACTGGACTGCAATCACCACTTCTGACCAGACTGCAGCAGCTCTCCCACCAGCAGGTTTATCCCCTCTCCCTTTGCTTTGGAATCGGGGGTGGGCCAAGGTACACCACTTTTGTTCATACCCCAGGGTGCTGGGTTATACATTTGGGTTTTGTGGGTTAAAACCAATTGTCTGTCTGTATAATTGTACTTATTGCATTATTTTAATAAATTGTTATTCTGACTTATAAATCTCTCTTTTGAATTGAGTTCATTTTCCCTTGCTGGTTAACTTTTAAACCAGCACAAGTTCTTACTTTAAGAAGTTTTACCACAGCTCCAAACATTACTATACTGATATTTGATTCTGAAAATGTAATTTTAAGAGACTGAAATTGCTCGACACATCATGCTTACTTTTTCCCGTTTAGTTAATACATTACATGTGGGTCACTGTATTTTACAGAAAAAAAAGGCTGGCTTAAAAAAAAAAAGTCTGCACTTCCTATTGATTGTAAACTCTGCAAAGAGTCTTTAAAGACCACATAAGGACAAGAATAATGAATATAACTATTTCTAGATTCAGAAATAATTGTAGCACAGAATCTAGCTGTAACTTTGTTAGAATGTCCACGCTCCAAGTTTTAATGTCTGAAAATTTGAAAAGACTGACAATAATGAGAAGTGCAAAGACATCAGACAAGCTGAAATGAAGACAGACAAAAGCATTTTTTAATATAAAAATGGTCTTTATTTCTTCAATACAAGGTAAGCTACTATTGCAGTTTAAGACCAACACAAAAGTTGGACAGCAAATTGCTTAACAGTCTCCTAAAGGCTGAAAAAAAAGAAACCCATGAAAGCTAAAAGTTGTGCAATATTTCAAGTATAACATCTAAAAAGATGAAATGATCCCTAAACTTACAGATTAAGTACCTCTGCTGAAAAAGTATTAAAATGCACATTTGCTAGCATACCGTCTTACCTTGTGGAGAAATATAGGTCTCCAAAAACTCCAGTGTTCAACAGATTCTTTGGCCTGCCAGCATCAGGAAACTGTTTATTATATATATAAAATCCTTTGGAGTCAGGCTTTCTGGCAGGCATCCATTTCCTTACACTTTGCATTGCAATTCCGCATTCCAATTTAGACAACCCCACTCCTGTATTTCAAACCATTTCTTGAATAGTTTACTCATAGATCCTTGAGCAAAGCAGGAACCAGGAAATGGAATTGTACAGGAAGACAATACAGCCTTTTGTTTAGAAAGTCAGCAGTGCTGATAATAGTCATAAAACTGCTAAGGTTTACCAAATAGGAATGTATTTCACCTTTAAAACATTTGGCTTTTTTTCCCCCTTTCTTTATTATTTTAAAAAAGGACAACTGCAGTAGTAAGGAAACTGAATTTGCAATCACTTGTATTTATAAAAGCACACACATTCCTCATTTTCTTACATTTGAAGATCAAGGGAATGTCTGTTTCATAATGTAAGAATAATATGCACAGTTTAAAATATTTTCTATTACAAAATATTGTGTACAAGACGGTGAGGCTGAAGTCTATTAGTTGAATATACTCGAAAGTGTATACTGAAATCATGTAAAAATCACATTACACGGTATAAATAGATGGGAATTTTTACAACTTAAATGCTCCATTCCATTGGGATCAAAGGTATACTGTTTACTATTTTCAATAGACTTCAGTAAAATTAGTGTATTTCCAAAGAAGTTTTAAAAGATTTAAGCACAGGCATAGGTCATACCAGAACCTAGAACCCACTGCAATCACTGGGCTATAGGATGGGTTCAGGAACTAACAAGCTTATCATATACAAATACAACAAGGAGCTTTATTGTACTTTGTCCAACATGGGGGAAGACAAATCCCCCAAGAACATCAAACTGATGAACTATGCTCCAAACTTGTCCTCAGTAAATTTATCCTCTAAAACGAAAATTAATCTAAAAATGGGATATCAGACCTTAATGGGCGGGCAGGGGGTAGAGAGAAGGAAAGGGAAACAACTACAAAACCAAAAAACCACCTCAACACCCCCACCCACTCGAAATCAGTCTGAAATATTAATTGCAAGGCATCATAATTGCAAGAGACACTATTTCCGCATAAACATCATGATTCAATAGCATGCTGCAACCATTAAGTTCAAGACCTGTGCAGTCAATTACCAAAATAATTTAAATACTAGGTGAATCCACGTTGCTTCTTTCCTACGTCAAAATTGTTATTTTGGAAAGAATTGAAATTTCTTCAAGTATGGGGACACTGACTCATACTTTCCTTCCCTAACATCTTGAAAGGCTTATATTTCAATGTAGAAGCAATTTAGTGTCTTGGATCTTTGAAGAGTACCAGTCCTAAACATGCATGTTTTATATTTGAATCTACATGACTGACAGTATCTTAACAAGTGTTGTATTAGGAAATTTAAGGCTGTATCTCAGTTTACACAAGAACCAAAGACAATTTTAACAGGCTATGTATAAAATTCTATAAGTAAAAATAGGAGCAAAGTCTATTTAACTGTACACAAGAGAGCAAGTGGATAAGAAAAGAAAATCAGGAATTAAGTATTTCTATAAAGAATGCCATGTATTTTACTAGAAACACAGACGACAAGTATATACAACATTTAAATCTCCAGTTATCCACATACAACTAGGAAAACATTTACAAGGGTTTGGGTATGCAACTAAACAATCAGGTAAAAAAATACAGTTAGAAAAATTAAGCCTCACCAATTTCAGAGGAACAAAACCAGAACACACTCGGTCCACAAAAAAAAAAGCTAATGTCTAAATTTAATAAAAATATCTTGTTTAACACAAAAACAACAGCTATCTAAGCTTATAAGCCACACTGTAAATAAAAATTTGAAGTTCTGACAAACATTTTTCAAAATGTAATCAGAACAAAAGTTATTGGCACAGAAAGCAAAAAGGGAATGAGGAAAAAAGACTGTACAGTTTCCAAAACGCTATGTTCTTCTTCTGAAGTACTTTTGACCTGTCAAAACCTATAGTCCAATAAAAATTTTACTTTAAAAAAAATCACTCTCTACATCTAAAAAACAAATCACCAATAGAACAACAACTGTTGCTAAAGCACCACCACTCCTAAGTCACTACTTGTTGGTTTTGTCTTTCAAGATAAAGGACACAGCCTTAACATAATATTTTCAATGTTACTTATAAAATCAACATTTGAAAGAAATAAAGTATTTCCTCACAGACTATTTCATCCTTTCATCAGCAAAAGGAGATGAATTAGAACTGAATGAATATCAAAGAGAAGAGCAGTAGCCATCATGGCATCATCACCAGTCAATTATTTTCTAAACTGCCATCTCCTGAGCAGGTACAGGAAATCGCCATGAACATTTAATAAACCAAAACTTGGTAAAAATTCTACTACAGATCCAGTTATACATGATGTACATCACGCATATTCCTTTTTGGTGTCTATCAGGGTCTTTGGATTTTTTTCTGTACATTTCTTTTTTGTTTTATAAAAAAAAAAATCTAACAAAGGACACTCACTCAAGAGAATATTATCTAAATTGCAACATGGTACATGTATCAGTTAAAATTAAGTATTTGGAGAACAGGCAGAAATAATGGGCTTCATACAGGGATCTCATCTCTCAAGTCACAATGATTATTCAGTTTAACTTATGTTATTTACCCCCTGCTATTCCCTCCCTGCTATGTCCATTGCCAGCAATGGTAATCCGTATGTGAGTGAGAAATTACACTCTATGTAAAAAGAGCAACAGTCTCCTTAAAACTATTTCAGTGTGGAGTAAATATCAATTCCTGCATAAAATGCTTGTAAAGTTACTTTTTTATTTTAAAATTTAATATATCTACTCAATGGAACATTACTTACCTGCTGCCTTTCCAGTATTAGCTATTCCCCATGTAACAGCTACAGGCAGGTTATTTCTTCCTTAAACTTATTACACACAGTAGTAAACAATGTTTTTAAGTAAAGAAAAAAAAGTTACAACAGTACTGTTTGTAACCAACACCTACTCACAAAAAAAGCAGGAAGTGATTCATGACTTGTTTGACACAGCTTTCAGTTTTACAAAATTTTTAAAGGCAGTTTTCATTTTCAAACAGGATTAAACAAACATGTCAAATATCTTCTCAGTAGCAAATAGTTCAATAAACATCAGTGATCCCATGCATGAGGAACTGAGGTACACAATTTAAGGAGAAAAAAAAAAACAGAGTCTGAAGCTGTAGCCAAGTCCAACAGCATCAACCTGGCTGCAGGAAACCTGGTTGAATAGTAGGTGCCAAAAATATCAGAGCATTTCAAACTTCTGCAAAACTTGGGCAGTTGCACAAGCTACTGGTCTCAACTCAAAGCATAAAAATCATTCATGTATGCAAATAAGATAACTTAAAGCATATATTTACATTCCTTGAAATCTATGGAATGTAAGCACGTGCTTGATATGCTCTGGAAAATCAAATGGATTTAAGTGCTTTCCTGAACAGGGTAACGTTTTAGGTTGGCTGTAAAATCTTCAAAATTGGTAAAAAAAGAAATCAAGAGTTTTCTAAGGGTTGCCTCTTAAAGCCATCTGAGGTCTTGAAACTTAACTTAAAACATTAAGTGCAACTATTTGAATATGTGAAAACTCCAGAGTATGTCCATTACATAACAATTTACAATAGACTAAAAGCGAGCCTTTGCACAAGGCTGCCAGAAACTAAGCTTTTGCAGCTTATACGAACTTCCTATTCACTTGCATTTCACACCTGATGAAATTTAAAACAAATTCTTGAATTTGAAGCCAGCTTTCACTGAATGCTCCATTAATTTGTTTTTAAGTAAATTTACAAAACCTCATCTGACAAATTTAATCTGCGTCATTTTTTGCTAAGATATTTCAATATTGCCCATCGGTGATCAAGGACATACAAGTGTACCTTCTCTTTTATATGCATGTGTGAATAAACCCCAAAGTGTTAAGAAAATACCAAACCCATAAAGTCATAAAAATGGTAACATCTTGTTTCTTCTGGCACATTTCTAATATACAACTATGTACAGACTGCTACGGCCTTGGGGGTAGAGAGGGAACACACACAAGCACTATTACTATAAAACTGTAAACAACTGCAGGGTTTTGTTTTGTTTTTTTAAACCTAACCTTTCTACCCCTTATTATGGGCAGTTTAAGTTCACATGAACAGTTTAAGTTTATATCAACTTTAGTGTCAATCAGGATCAAGGCTGTATGAAAGATAAAATTTTCAGTGTGCTAAAAATCACAGACTTGGGACCATCTCTCCTCAAAACAACTAACCACAGAGTGCTGCAGTTTTTACAGTTTTATGTGTCAATTAGCAAATTCACAAGCCACCCAGGTAAACACTGCTAGAAAGCAAAATAGTATTAAAGGTTTAATGTAACCACCTATTTTCATATCAAAATTGAGTGTGAGAGCGCAACATTAGTACGTTTAACTTGCTGAATGCAAGATTAGGTTGAGGCATATGCAAGAACTATTGCAATGTTTTTGAAGACAGCATCAATGTTTCCGTTGTAACATTATCTTTAAATATTGCTGAACACAAGACTTTCCCTGAGGTGTAAACATCAAATAACTTGAACAGCTTTACACATCAGCCCCATTAAACAGTTTATTACAACACTACATCTACTGTAATCAGTGGTGCTGTGTACAGACATTATCATATGAACAGTTTAACATGAACAAACTACTATAAAAACAAGCATTTACTTGACTTTTTCCAATTGCTTGCACATTATAATTGCCAAATGTATATAACCAGTAATAAAGTTGCAAAAGCTAAAGGTTTAAATCACACAGGTTTCCCTCAAATAAAACAGTTAAGCAACATAAAAAAGTAAAAGAGCTACTGGTTACCATGTATGCAGATTTGCTTTATTCAGATCTATTCCTGTTCATTTTATCCATGAATCCTTACAGGCTCAGTTCAATCACATGAAGCAAACTGCTGGACAAGCATCTTTCCTTGAAGAATGTATCTTGTCTTGCACGCTGTTCCTCTTCCTTCAGCTGTAATGTGTCAAAATTTGTGATGTAGATTTTGCTAGTCCCCATAATACACAGAAAATTGCTGGCTTATCTATACATACACAAGTCGTGCATCTACTTCACTGTGATGTAAACTAACACAAAATATCCAGAAGCAGTAGCTACTTGTTTGTGTGTTGTTTTCTAACACAATAGTTAAAAATAAGATTAATGTTGTTGTACAAAAAAGTTGAAAGAATATAAATTTCACAGTTAAAGTATTGATGAAAAAGAAAGAAGTAACTACTGCTCCTATGACTGACGGCAACACTGATATAGAACATTTCCTAACGTATGCATTCTGCAAGAGTAACTGAACAAGAATTTAAGGTAATTTTGCCACAATTAGACTTTTACATTTTTACCTGTCCACTTACAGAATTTTTAAGCTGGTTTGACATTTAAGGAATGTGCTGATTGTATAATGAAATGGATGGCTCACAGCTCAGTAACATTTAAAAGTGCACAGAATCTGACACCATTATAATCAAAATTTTCAGACTAGTGGCAAGCTGTATGGGGTTCACATCTAAAAATACAGGCTAGCAGTTTAAGCACAAGAACCCACTTTTCATATAAAACACTGTAGATTTGCAGGTTTTGTCACCTACTCATCCTATGAAAAAACCCAAGCCCTACTTCCTACTCTCATCTATTTTGGCAAATTAGGGAACCACACAATTCAGAGTTAATTACTGTAAAAGTTCACAAAATACTTGGGATGGTATAATTCCATACACTGGATTTCAGTTGAATTCCATTACAAAACAATCAGCTATCTTAATTTCATTAATAATTCACAATTTCAACATTCAATAATTTCAAAATACTTAAAATCAAATTGTTAAAACACCCAACACATTGTTTATTTGAAAAACAAGACATTTAGAGAAGCAATTTCATGAACATGCAACAGTACACAGCTGTCAAATATTGTTCTATTAGTACAATAATTTCAAAACTAAGTACTCATTTTTTCTTCTTCCTTTCCTAAAAGTGACTGTTAATAATAACTTTAAAAAAATCCCAAAGTACAACCAAGTAGGCTCTATACACTACAGTATGCGCATATACTAGTCCAAATCCAAAGCAGCAACTGAAATTTCTTATTCACAGACTTCGTTCCCAAGTCATCAACGTATCAACTTTTGGGGAAGTTCCTTCCCCAGAGGCCAATATTTCCATAGGTGTTATGTGCTTTTGAAATTAATTAGTAGCTAAGTGACAAAGTGCTGCCTCCACAAGAAAAATGCGTTCAGGGTTGCAAGTTAAGTTAGCAATAGGCAGGAAAGAATCTCAGTTTTCTAGTGGAGAAATTAAGTACTGACAGCTGTGAGACTGCACGTCAGAATTTGCTGCTCTCATAATACAATTGCTGCAGCCAAAATTATGGATCTTTATCACTTCTGTGGCGACAGTTAACAGATCCAAAGCACCATATATATGATTTATAATACTAGCATAAGAAAGCTTCAGTTCCTGGGAATAATCTGCTAGATTTGTAAGGGTACTTATGGAGCTACAGGGACTCTAAAGAATACACAATAAAGTGAATTTAGGATTAACGCTTTTCATTATAGGGCTTTTAAGATGGTCAGCACCACACTGAACCTTCATTTTTAAAAACATGACCAACTAAAATCCAAAGTGGTGAACATTTTGGTTTCAAGTATTCTGCCACTATATCTCGGCACAACTGGAAACCCTTGTGGTTCCAAAAAAATAAATCTGTATGGATTATACGTTCATGCTCAGCCCTTTTCAGTATTCTACAAGCAAGTAGAATATTGAAGCAACAAACAATTTAAAAAAATTAATAAATCTCTAGTCAGTATTTCTTAGCAATACTGTTTCCATCTGCCTCAAGCTCATATATAAGCTATCCGTCCCAAGCATGTGTTAAGTTTGTACAATTTAACACCACACAGCAATCAGTTTCTCAGCATTTCTACTAATAAAACCCAAATTTCAGACTTAGCTGTTAAATAGGTTTTTTGAGTTTAAAAGTTAGGGGTTTATGTCAGAATATTTCACAAATGAAATCCCAGGACTTCAGTGATCGAACATCTTGGTATTTATGCAAGATGCAACTTGAGCATTTTTTTACCCACAAAGACACAACAAAACCCAATAGATTGTTTGTATATATCAAAGCATCTTGCAGTAGCAACTCTGATTTTTTTTCTCTTTGATTCCAATAATTTAAATAAGTACATAAAAGCTTTAAATATCTTTTAAAATTGTGAAAATTCTACGGTAGTTTTAAAGCTGTATGTGCATACACCCATAAAGTTTTTGTTGTAGTAGTTTAATTTCTGAAATTTTCAGAGATTGAATTTCAATCTCACATGTTCACATTTCAGTAAAATGCATGACATACATTTTGTTAGTATACCCTAAAAGCTCCTATGAATTCCTTCATGTAATTCTCCTTTATTTTATTCTATACATAAAGAAAAAGAAATACACAAACCAAAACTCCCACAGAAAGTATCAGCTTGAAAGCCAAAATTTGTTTAAATTTAACCTACATTCCAGAACATCACAAACCTCCAAACACTCCGATGCTTTAGCTATAACATAGTAAGAAAGAAGGAATTTCAAGCTTGTCTTGTCTCAAGGAATTTCTATTTGTCTTTCTTCATGTAAGTTGAGATACATGTGATTCTGTTCATCATACACATACAGACTATTTTACCAGCACTAGCACCTTCTCATATTTGCCTATTCCCCCTGCTCCATTATTCACGTACTTACCTGCTACCTTTGTTCAATCTTAGTGTATAAGTAAAGATCAACACAACAATTTCATGATTTTATAAATAACTTTACATGGGAAGAAAAACTCCCAAACTAGTCTCATTCATCATGTGTCTTTCTCCTACTATCCCAGCATGTCTATTCACTAAAAATAACTGATGAACAGTGAGGTGTGTTCAAAAAATTCAATTTTTAGTTTACAAATTAAAAAGATATGACTCACTGTCAATTATTTTTCACATTAATATATGAGGAAGAGACAAAAAGGTAGATCAGGCTGCCACAGAAAAACATAAAAATGAAGATACCTCTGTCATGTGTCCTTTTTTTTTTGTAGAAAGAAATAGTTCTCAAACCACAATGAGCAAAAGGAAAAAACTGAATTCGTTCATTCTCTGGAGAACACTGCATCAAATCAACATTTTCATTTCTTTGTTTCTTATGTTATGAAACTTAAAAGTTTCTTGGAGAACTTTCATACAGATTAAATTTGTCAAAACTAATGATTTCACAAATAAAAGAAAAAAGCACAGGATATGGGGAGCACAAAAATGTAAGTGTGTCTAAAGACACCTCAGAAGTTAATAAAATTACAGCAATATATTCATGGGAAAAAAAGTAATAAAAGTTATGCTTTTGAAAATAAGTAGCATAAGATACTCATTTCGTTTTTTCAATCAACATTTCATCCTCAAGAAAATGAGATAAATCACTGAACATTAAGGGACAAACTATGTTTCTAAAGCACCAGAGCAGTGATAAAATAGACTGCAAAAAGCACATAAAGCAGTGGCACTCCTTGCCTCTGTGACACTATGCTGGATTTCAAATGCTGAATCAGATACACAAAGTATTATTTCTCTGATGAATGCTAAATCCAGAATAGTGTCAGCTCCACATATGTGCTTCCTCAAAAACACACATTTTAAAAAAAAGAGATTAGGTAAGTAACGTTTGCAATACCTTAATATCAAGATCTGATAATAGTTCTAGACAGGTATTTATACCCAAGTCTCAAACAATGCTACCACACAATTAACTTAATATTAACTAGAAGCTTGTTATTAAAATAGCTTATAAAAAATAGGCATTTTTCTATTCATTTACAAGGTTTCTTAAAAGGCTAATTTCATACGGCACTTGATGTTTAAGTGGTTGTTAACACTGTCACAGGCCTGTTCCTACTTACAGAAGCAAAAATATAATGAATACTACATGAACTATGAGTACCATTTCCCCTCCTCCTGACACCAAAAAAATTCCAACCATGTTACTTCTCGGATCACTCCAAAGCTGAAACCACTTCAGAGAGAACTGCGAGCAGTTTTTGCAGGAGCATATGAGCCTCAGACATCAAATTATTTTGCTTACAGTGGTTTGAGAGCAGAAAAATCAGAGAATAAACACGAAATATGGAGTACAAAGTCTACATACATATCAACTGTTACAATATTGTGGTTTTGTCTTTGCAATTCAAACCAAATCCAGTTTAAATAGGAAATAATCAATCAACCCAATAACAAAAACATAAAATGAAAAATTTAACATTCAGCAGTTGTAGAAATTCAGACAGATTAAGATTGGGACAATGTATCAGCTAGAAATACATCATTGAGTATCAGTTAAATTAAAAAAAATTCTGCCTAAAAAAAAGTCAGGACTCATGACGATGAAGTTACATTACTATTCTGTTTGTACACATTAGTATTGTTGTTAATCCTTCTAAATGTCATTCTACTGGGTTCTTGGTTTTTTTGACTAATACAGGTTAGACATTTGTCTTAAATCCATTGTCCTCTTTTATATCTATAGGCTTTCTATAAGCAAAGGTAAGATGTTTCAAAGAAACATTCAGCTTATAGTAATTCAGGAGAATGGATTATCGATGTACATGAAGCCTTACTCAAGTGAAGGCACAAAAATCTTGCAAGAATTTGACTTTAAATCATGAAGTGTACAAACAGAAGTGTAAACACCTGCTATGGTACAACTAAACTTTTTATAGAATTTTATTGTTATAAACACATTTTGTAAGTTATTCCAATTTTACCCATCTTTATAAATGTAATACAGTACAAACCGAATTTCGCTGTTTACAAAAACGTTCACATTGGACCTTTAAAATCCTTCTAAACTAGACGTGTAACACTTTGGAAAAAAATGCCAGTACAGTATCACAGTTATGACTATAGGTACACAATTAGGAGAGGTATAGGTGCCATTCATAGGGTGCAGGCACAGAGGTAAACTTCATGTTGTCTGGCAAAACACAGTATTATGGGAAATAACTCCTTTCAGCACTTTTGATATTTATTAAATAACTGAGTGTTAAATCCATTTATGAATATTATTCAATGTAAAAAATGAAACAAAAAATGTATGGCAACATACATCTTAGTGAAAATGAAACATACAAACCAGGAGATAACTATTTCTTTTATACGTGTGTGTGTATAAATATATAAAAACAAAACTACAATAAAGCTCTTCTTCATTAAGACAGCAACAAGACAAAATGTTTACAACTTAACTTAAAAGAAAAAAATACCAAATGCTTTCATTTACATGTAGTAGACTAAACTGGCCCTTTAAACCAAGTTCTTAGGACCTATTTTCTTCACACAAGGGAATCTTATCAACACATCCCTTTGAAAGAAAAGAGAAGTCCCAGCACACAGTAAAGCTGAAGGATGTTGCAAATATAAATCCCACCTGAACTGAGACTGAAACCACAGCCTCATTTTAAAATTGTTCCTTGGAAATTATAAAATGCAACCTAATGCTGTTTGGTATGTTTTCTTGGGGTAACAGGGTAGGGTATCTATACTTGGCACAGTAAGTCCATATCTATATGCACAAGACTAAATACACAAAAATTAAAGCTAGATTAATAAAGTATGCCAAGGGTTAAAAAATTATCTTCAATTCCAGGCTGTTAACAATTTTTAGTGTGGCTTGCTCATCTCCACCAGAAGGAAAACACTCTAGAAATACATCCATTACTCAGCTCAATGGTTACCACTGTTAGTAAGGACTATTTGCAAATATCAAAAATATGCAGTTATTATAGAAGGTAAATATCCAGTTCAATAAAAGAAACTACATTTACTTTTGTAATATCTATATTTTTATGTTGTTATTTTACAATTAAGAACTACCATGACTATTTTTATTAAATTACAAAAATATTTCTACCAATATTTTTAATGGCAAAAAGTGGTATTAACAGAAATATACCACCAACTTTATTTCATTTGCCATGTTTCACCTTCCAAATTAAGCCTTTGACTCCCCTTTTCTAGGTTGGTTACTTCTTTGTGTTGTCCCCTGCTAGTATATGAACCCAATACAACACCCCACTTAATTCTCAACACGCTAGAGCATTTAGCATCTGAATTCATTCTCTCCCAAAGGAGTCAGACAGTGACACAAAAGTCTGACTGAAAAGCTGACATTTAACTCATATGAAATTGTATTTTTACTTAGGAGTATACTACATTTTACATTATTTCTAAAAAGTTTTGCTCTATAACTTCTGTAAATGAATTTCTATGAATCAATAACACATGCAAATCCGGAAACTAAATCTGAGGTTAAATGTAAGAAATGGAAGCTGGGCCAACAGACAAGTCTGCAAGCTTCAGTTTCAGTGTAGAGGTAGTGGCAAGTTCTTCTTCTAAAAAGGGAAAAGACCGCTACAGAGTAACTATTAGGTAGGGTTTTTTCCCAATTGTCAAATATAAGGAATCATAGTAGCTTTACTTCCCAATCCTCAAAACGGTATATTATATAAAATATAAATATTTGCATGTATTTTAAAGCAGTACATTGAAAAAAAGCATTGTTTAGCATGCTACTCCAGCTGTCTAGACATCTGATGCATGCAAACTTCAGATATATGAAATAAAAGAACACATTAGTTTGTGAACAACCAGAAAAGAATCAATCTTGGTGTCATACATTTTTACTAGTCTTCAGAAAATGACTTTACTATCATATGGAGGAAGGACTGAAAAAGTCTAGGTGAAGGGGAACAACTAACCATAAATTTCACTGAATGTTAAAACACGAATTTAGCTAGAAGGCAGAAGATTCTGACAGGTCACATTTCATAAAATAAAGATAAAAATCTGGCAATATTTCCTGAATTTGACTAAAACTCACCAGGAAAAACAAAACAAAACCAACACAAAACAAAACAACAAACCCCACAAATACTGAAACCCAAAAAATCACCACCATACTTGTGCAAGGACAACAAGTGTATGTACACTGAAATAATCCACACATGAACTACGAAGGGCTAAAATGCTGCAGTCCTTACACAAGTAGATTTTAAAATACAAAATTAGTATTTTTAAATACAACTGAGAAATAAAACAGTAAATTTCATATAATTTTCTAAGATTATAAAGAGAACGGTCTGGCTTACTGCTTTTTTAAGAACTGGTTCAACTGCTTTTCATAAAAACTGGGAACATTATTACCAGCTAAAATAAAAGAAGTGGCATGCAGAATGCAGAAGATAATTGCACAGACTTCCTCCCTCCCAAGACCAGTTACCTGTTGTTACTTACCTATGTTCATGTCAGGTGCTGCAAGAAGAAAGTGATTCAGTATATACTGCAGGATCATTTAAATTCAGACATGAATGGTGTAAATAATCTCAAACCTAGAGTGGTTACTTCTAGTAAGTCAGTAAAGTTAAAAAACATGAAACAAATGCTCACCTTTAACGGTGACGATATTCTCTCTCTCTGTCTCGTTCTCTGTCACGATCTCTGTCACGATCACGATGCCTCTCTCTTTCACGGCTTCTTTCCCGGTAATAGTCATCATGACGATCTCTACTACGTGATTTGTGGCGCCTACTTTTTTCTCGTGACCTACTGTGGTCCCTCTCTCTGGATCGTTCACGTCTTCTAAAAGAAATTACTTCATTAAATTTTTCTTCAAAATACTAGTCATCCACATACCACTCTTGCACTCTGCTTGTGAGCATGAATTTGACCAAAAACAGACATGTTCACCATGAGGCAGGTATGTTTTTGTATATAACATTAAAGATAGCTGATATAAACAGTGGTGGTTAAGAACTCGGTTACAGGAACTAAGGGGCACCCACTTTTTGATCTAGCAAAGAAAAGCCAGAAAGTACATGCTCAGAATGGAGGATGACTGAAATCAGCTGGGGGAAATCCACCATAACTCAAACAATCACTGCAACATGGCTGCTAATCTGCGTACAGAAAGTATGTGCCAAAACCACGAAAAAAAGCAGAGTAAAATTTAAGCTAGTCAGATAAATTTTGAAATGAGGGCTAGTTAGAAGGCACCTTTTCTAAGTTCAGGAAATGCTTATTTGGCTCTTTCACACATTTCTTGTGCAACTCAGCAATCACTAAGCTTCTTACATGACTTAGTTTCAGTTTCTTCTCTGTGAACTAGTCCTGCACTACACCTTCTCTTTTTTAAGACCAGATGGAAGAGGAAAGTTTTACCTGGATCCAGAACCATAAGACTTGGACTCAATTCCATGAAGGCAGTCCTGAAGAGAGCTAATAAGTACTTTACAGCGATCATCTGCAGATACTTTGGACTGTTTGATTAAGGAAATTGCAGTTACCAAGGTCTCTATAGCACTTCCATAGTCCCCTGAAAACAATGTAAACTCAGGATCAGAAAATTATGCAAATTAAAACATAGATTTCTATCTGTAACACTATTACCATTTTGAGTATCTTCTCTTCAACAGCCATCTAGATCATTTACTGTAGAACCAAATATTAAAATACTGTCCAGATCAGTACTCAGAAGGTATTCTCAGAAACTGAAGCACAGTACAAAATCAGTCATAAATTGTACCTAAATTCAGCATCCTATTAGGAAAACGTGGCTTCAGGCCTTCCAGATTCCTAATAAAAGGAATATAAATTCTTTTCAGTTGGGAAGAACAGTAAACATATTGAGTTTTACTAACCAGCACTGGCATCTGATACAGCTCTCGAAATGGCACTGCTTGAGATCGCCCTATTTCTATTCATGATTTCTTCAAATTCTGCTTCACTTAGAGGTGTCCTTGCAGCATCCATTTCTCTGCAAGCAATAAAACTAGTATTTAAAAGGTTAAGCAGAACTTCAGAAGTTATCATTGAAATTTCAACAATCCAAGTTTGCAACTTTAAGCAGTGACAAACAGAAAAGAAAGCAGGATCTGGATTTGATTTTGGTTTTTGTTAAGGACCACTGTTACAGTATAAAATCCTGAAAGCTAAAAAAAAAAAACCACCAAACAAAAAACCCCCCAAAACAATTAATACATTGCTGTATAAATAGACTTATTTTTTGTTCATCCCACCTATTTCAAACATTCATCAGCACTTAATATTGTGCTTTACAAATATTTACAATTTGCATAAAATTCTTGAAGGTATGTAAATAGATATTCCCAATTGAATGGATGTGGAAATACATGTACATAGGCAATGCAACTTTGAGCAAAATTAGAGATAATTTTTATAACAATACTGGAATCAGAACTATATGATCCTGTTTCCCAGATCTTAACTAAGACCAGAACGCTGTAACTTTTGAAAAACAAATATAGTTATCATCTTTAAAACACTCAATTTTCTGAAGCTATGTCAACGTTTTACAGCAATTTTTTTATTTTTTTTTTTAATTTCTGGTCAAGTTCAAGGTGCTCCAATTTAATCTCCAAACTAGTCATAGTAAGGAGGAAGCATTAAAGCAGAATCCTCATACTCATTACACTGTACTTTAATTATCAGCTACCTATACAGGGTTTACAAAGTCATAGAAGTAAACCTAAATTTTCCCAAAAGTTTTGCAGTGTCCTATTAGCCAGTCTCTGTGTCATAGAAAATTTGGAGAAATGTGTTAGAGACAAATGCTGAGACTGTCAAACTGGCCCACTGCTTGTTATTTCTAGAACAGTGTTAGTTCTTCTGGTAGAAAGAAAATGCAGAATAATAAGCAATGCTATCCTCTTAATTGCAAGAAGTGGAACAAGATCCTATAGCCAGTTTAGCATAAGAGGAAATGTCTAAAAATTCATACCTCCCTGAGTTTTGAGTATTATTTTTCGTGTGCCTCCCATAGAATGGAATATGTAATTTTTCTCTTATGGACATGTTATTTCCAGTGAAACGCCTATGATATATAATTAATGACAATTTAAATAGTTATGGATGATAGCTTTAACATTATTAATGAAAATACTGGACAGTAAGTTATACTGTCCTATTCCCACTCCTTCCCTCCCCAAACATTCTATAAACTGCAGACAACCTTGATTTTGTTCATCGAAAAACACCCAACACCTTATAGTCTTCTTATATTTCAGGCAATTAAGCCAAAAGCTTGAATTTCAATTTTTTTTTATATGAACATAGTATGTACAAATGCTTGGGGTTTTTTAAACTTTGTGATAAATGAATCAAAGCAAAGCATCTTTGCAGAAAACATTTTAAGCCAAAGAAGTGTGTCTCATGCTAGCAGTAAAATTACTACTAAAAATTCAAATCTAACTGCAAAAAGTGTCTTTCTTACAATTTATATCAAAATTTTCTGTAACAAATACAAATACAAAAATTAAGAAACAGCAGCAAGACAGAGATGCTTGAAGTCACAGACGAAAAAGATGTTTCAAACAAGATGTGAAACACTTGACAAATCGAGTCAGAGACTTAAGAACTCTGTCCCAGATAGGATTAACCATAGGAAAAGCCACCGCTACAAACACAGCAAGATTGCACCAAATGAGCAGAAACATCTTGACAGGAGAGGAAGATAAAAGTCTTGCAGTAAATGCACACCTGGCTTTTGACACAAACACTAACTTTTAATTGAATCCTGAAGAGAAAAGGGACAAGCAATGCTGCTGGAAGATGAAAATGGTATGAGCTTGGTATGATCTCCACATATGCACATATTTGAAAAGGAAAACTCCAGAGCATTCTCAAAACAGAGCCTGCAAAGCATGATGATACAGCTAAAAGTCAGAATTTCAAGTTAAGACAGAAGCACAACTAGAAGCTGCTGCATAAGAAGTGATATATAAGTTTACATGTAGAACATATGGAATGATGACACTGCCAAATACAGTGAAGACAAACATTTCAGAGCTGAAAAGGGAAAGTGAGATTACTGGTGTTGCATTTCAGGATTTTCTTACTGCTGCAAATATGTTTCTCAGATATATTCCCCTGGAGAAGTAAAAAGGGGCAAACTACAAGGCTGTTGGGATCCCTTCCGGCCCTACTTCTAATTGCTTCTAACATTCGCATTAAAAGGGAAAAACCAAATGCTTCCTACAAGAGGAGTAAAATCTGCTACCCAAGCACATTAGACCAAAAGAACTCACCTTCCAGGTGGCCCATAGTCACCTCTGTCATATGGTGGAGGTCGGCCATATGGATCTGTCGGAGGTGGGCCACGACTGTCTGAAGTAGGTATGCCACTATTGGCAGGTGGGGGGAAGAAAGCTGGATTCACATGTGGTGCCGGTGGTGGAGCACCTGGAGGTGGCCCAGGGAGATGTGGAGGAGGAGCAAGAGTCAGGGGTGGCCCAAGAGGGCCAGGTGGACGAGGGGGAAATGGACCCGGAGGTGGAGGTGGACCCTGCTGAGGTGGTGGTGGACCTGGTGGTGGCCCATAGCCTGGAACTGGTGGTGGAGGGCCTGGAGGAAGTGGCCCAAGTGGAGGCTGACCAAAAGGCTGTCCTGGAAACAGAACTGGTGGTGGTGGACGGTCACCACGATTAGGAGGTCCAGCTAACGGAGGTGGGAGGACCTGACCAGGAGGCGGAGGGCCTGGTGGGCCTGGTGGGCCAGGAGGACCTAAAGGTGGACGTGGGGGAGTTTGTCCAGCTAAAATAAAGAAATAAAAAATAAAAACAAAAACAAACAAACAAAATTGAGTGAATAAGTACAAAGAAATAAAATACTTTAACACTCTAGCCTTTTTCTATTCTTAAAAACAACAACAAAAAAACAAAAGTAACCCTCACTGAACATTGTACAACATATACAAGACATGCATGGTCCCACTTTGGGTCCAGTAGCTTAGAAAATTTTTAACTTATCTGTATCTATTAATACTAGATATCTACAAATATCTAAAGAGAATAACATTATCTTGAAAACTGACAACTTCCCACCCTCCCCAAAACACAACCTGCTGTTGTTACCAAAACCCCCCAAAGCTTACAAAAGCTAGAAAACATTGCATCCTACTCACATCTGATGCTAGTCTTTCATATGGGGCTTAAGACACAAATATATATTAAAAATATGGGAAAAGTTATATTACAGAAGGTATCATAAATGCAGTATCCAAACCTACTTTCAGTGGTCTTTCAGTTTGACTACGTCCCTTTGACTGCTGGTAGACAGTCTACTACTGAATGACATTTACTAAAAAATACTTCAGCTCAAAAAAGAACTTCACTGCAGTGCAAACCTAATTGTTTAACAGATTTCATCCATATCAGATATCTGACTGATATATGAACAGCTCTTCTTCAAATTTCTGGTATTTTAAGTGCCAACTAACTGACCTGCCAATGGACATGAATCAAAGTTGAATTTCTGATCATGTGCAAGCTTGCAATATAATAAGGAAATCAGTTACTTTACACTCTGCAACAAAGGCATTTTCACCCCATACAGCAAATCAGAACTGCATTAAAGCCAAATCTACTTGCTACCATGATCTATTTTACTTCTTTAATACTTAAAAAATATGTATATTGGAATGTATCTAAAAATGTTGTCTTGCTATTAAATTTAGTAAGTACAACTCCCTGTTGAATATCAACAAAGAAACAGTCAAATCCTACAATTTAGCTGTGAACACTGATAATAGCTTATTACTGAATTGCCTTAATTTTTATCATTTCCCAAGTAAGCATGCCATATTAAAACAAGAAAACACAAATAAAACTGAAACTCCATAGATGAATAATTTTACCTGGGAAAGGTGGTGGTGGCCCTCCTGGCCCTGCTGGTCCAGGGAATCTGTCTCCACCTGGAATGGCACCTGGAAAACGGCCTCGACCTCTATTACTAGGTGGAAATGCTGCTCGTGAGCTTCCTCCTGGGGGACCAGCTTTACCTTCCCCAGACATCTGGCCAGATTGTGTGGCTGCGATGGAAAAGCAGAAGTGACATTACATCCATCAAAATAAGTTAAAGAATTTTAACACTCGGTCTAAAGCTTTATGCAGCGCTAAAGCATGACCCTATGAGCACCAGCTTGTTCCTTGTACCCAAACCCAAAGCATTCGGAGAGGAAAGTGTGCTTTGCTAAAGTATGGCAATGTTACACTACGCTCCGTACTAACAGAAGAGCACCAGGAGAGACTGCCAGTCCTTCCTCCAGTGCAGCCCAAGGCCACAAATGATTAGGACTGGGAACCACAAGACATGGTGCTGAAGTACAACACAGAACCTTTCTTCCCTGTTCTGTCATAAACACAGATGGTCCAGACATTGGAATTTAGTCCAGTTTGTCTACAAATGTTAAGCTTCTAAATGCTCTTGTGCTTTTTTAAAAATTACATCCCCAAGAAATTGAAAAAGCATCTCCAGCTGTTAAGAGATGCACAAATCTGCAAACTTCTTTCAGAGAGTGCAGCAGCTCTTTGGTGTATTAAGTGATTTTTTAAAACAAATATGCAGCTAGACTCTAAGTATTTTATAGCTATTTTAAACTGTGTAGAAGATATCAGATGCTGAGGAAAAAACCTGCCATACTACTTTTTCTGTTTTTCCAAGACAGTACATAAGAAAAGCTTACTTTTCCTTGACTGCATTTCAAATTGACTCAGAAATTGTTTATTACACGGAGTTACAACAGGATTCTGCCCGTGCAATTCTCTTTTAGGCAACAAATCCATCAACTTTTTGGAGGATGCTTCTGATCCCACACCCACAAGGGCAAACCTGAAAGGAAACAAAAAAGTTACACCACAATTTTTCCATTTTCTGGATATCCTGATGCTTCATGGAAAAAATAACACAGTAAACAAAAGTATACTTGAAAACTAGATACAGAAACTGTCTTACAGGCCTTAGTTTAGTTTTCAGAACAGAGAAGATAATTTGTTGTAGGACATAAAAGAAAAAAACAAAACCACCACACTAACAAATCTAGCAATAGTCTTTATGAAGATGGTCAACAAGTTTTAACTTACAAAGTAGTGAGACACACAATACCATCACAAAAATTTATGCCTGAAACTTAAGTCATTAGTATGAAATTACATGTCCAACCATTGTTAGATCAATAAGCAAAGATTATCAGTTCACAGACTGATAGTTATAAAAACTGAGAACTCCTTCCCCATTTTCTTGCTCCTAAACTTCAGTCCATGTACACATACAGAAAAAACAAATAACAAGTTCTTACCCTTTAGACTGGCCATTAGCACGATTTTCAAAAAATTTTATCTCCAAAATATCATTTACCCCCAATGAATGAACTGCTTCAGTTAAGTCTTCATCTGTTGTCCACTGAAAAATATTTTTAATATTCAATTGTGAAAGCTTATCTAAAACATTAGGCAAAGGGCAACTAAGTTTTCCATGCATTTTGTGTGTGTGTGTGAAATTGATCCAGAGGAATACAGGAATTCAGGTTGTCAATATATTCTAACTATATTCTAATTTTTGAAGAGTACTCATTTGTATTTTACAATTCTCAAAAACCTGATTTTTTAATATACGTGCTTCCCCATATGCTACATTGCATCAACCCCATTTACACAGTATACCAAAAAAAATTTTTAATTGCGTCACTTTTGTCTTCCGAAAGTGCAAAGCTTAAACTGGGCTAATGAAATAGTATTGAAATACTGCTACTTTTTCCACACCCAATCCATATTTTTTCCCTCTGATACCATTATTTACATACAAACGTCAATTTTAAATACCTTATTAACCAGGTGCTTTTTGTGAGAGCTTTGACTAGTGAGAGTTTAGTGAACTACATACTATTTGCACAAAAAAAGCAGGATCTATAGACAAAAGTAGGGAAATTTGTACATAAAACTATGGTTAGAAACATCTGCTCCCACTTAATCAAATCTACTTGCTGTAACTTCCTATTAATTACTATGTAATGTTTAACAATTTCATTCATATCCAAAGACATAAATACACTAATATTTATGGGTTTTTTCCCTACTTCTATAATTCCATCACTCCTTTAAATTTCATATGAGGAGTACAAGGCAGGCTTTCAAGATTCTGAACTACTTATCCCATTTCCCTCAAATAAAAGCTTCTTTTAAAAATTCAACAAATTATTTTGCTGAAAGCTAAATGCAAAGAAAACACAATACGAACACTACAGTACATAAATGCACTTTCTGCAAATAACTTAATTTGTGAAGCCAAAGAGTAACAGGTACAAATTGCTGAACACTGCTCTACCTGCTTTAGAAATTCAGACACTTGACTTGGATAAGTTCAGCTAATTCACACACATTTTACTGATTCCATTCAGGTATTTCAAAACGGGACAGCTGTTAAGTCAACAGCTCCTTTACTTACCTATTAGCTCCTGAAATACTGTAATAAGTAATGAAAAAAAACCCGTAAAAGCATTCTTTTTCAAGTTTAGCACTAGTAAGAAATTAATCAGAAAATGGAAAAAAAACTAATAAGAATTTTGCATGTGTGGGCCTGGAAGAATTTGATTTCACATAAACAGGTAAAAGTTTCACTTAATTCAGCTACTGACCAGCTCTTGCACTTTGTTTGCTTAACCGCAATTGATTTTAAAATGCTTTAATGCTAACAAAGGTAATTGTCTTGAGGACGACTGCAGTTCAGTAAGTTATTGTAAACCTGTACTTCTTGGTAGAAGAAATAAGCTTCAAGACAAATACCTGAAAACAGCTGTGTTATAAGAGTCACTGCCAGCAGAAAAAGCCCCTGGAAAAATGTGAAAAGTGATTTCAAGAAAATCCTAGAGAGCTTTCCACCTCCTTTTAAACTAAAACCTTCCACAAAAGTTTACTAAAAATGGTGTTTTTTCAGTAACATTAAAGTATCTACAGGTATAAAGTATTTCATAGTTTAAACTTGTTCTCTTTCATTCAGTTCTCTGGAAAACTTAAGACAGTAGCACAAATATCCCTTCGTAACACTTAAAACGTGACAGAAACTTGAAAGCTTGTATTTACTGAAGACTTTCTCAATTTTTAAGACATCAAAACAGCTCCAGACAGGCTCACTAAATTTCAGGTAAAAGGAAAAAAACGCAACCACAAAAAAAAATAACCTCACACCACCAACAAAACCAAAATCACCTGCTTTTTCTGTACTTGTAACATTTCATATAAAACACTGTAAAGCAAAAAAATTTTACAAATAGTTATTGTCTACAATTAAAATTCCTGTCTACAACTTAATAGCAGTAAGATACTTACCCAAGTAAGATTTCCAATGTACAAGGCAATTCTCTTTCCAGTATATGTATAGACAACATTTGGTGCAGCTCCTTTACCTACATCATCCCCAACCGATGGTGGGAGAGAATCCATGTAATCACGATCCTCTGGGGCATCTCCATTATTTGCAGATGGAGAAATTACATCATCATATAAATCAATCTGATCATGTCCACCATATTCAGCCTCCTAAAATAAAAAAAGGACACTTTAATTATATTTAATATTGCACACACTCTTAAAACTTGAAACAAAAAGCTGTGATAACTGTCATGCTCCACAGACATTTTAAGTCTGATCCAACACCTACAAAACATCCCTGCTGAAAAGTTAAGCCCCAGCTTCACCCACAATAAAATATATGAAATACTTATGACTGCTATTATGTTCTAAACTGCCAGGGGAAAGAAAATACTTCTGACCACTGTTTTCCATTGCAATACTTCTGCCCTTGTAATACAAGCAGAAATCCAAAAATCCACAAGCCCTACTCCCAGGACGATATACATTAGAAAGCACAAGTGTCATGGTTTTTACCCCAGTTGGCAACTAAATACCACACAACTGCTCACTCACTCAACTCATCCCTCCCCAACCCCCCTGGGGAATGGGGAAGAGAATCAGAGAAAGGTAAAACCTGTGGGATAAGAACAGTTTAATAACTGAAACAAAATATTATAATTATTATTATTGTTATAATGAGAAGAGAGATAAAGAGACAGGAATGAAGTCCAAGAAAGACAATACAACTGCTTTACCACCCACTGATCGATGCCCAGGCACTCTCCAAGCAGTGATCAGCCCCCTTCCAGTCCCACCAGTTTATATACTGGGCATAATGTTCTGCCATCTCTGGTGCTTTTCTATAATACAGCAGGTACATTGCATCTCATTTTTCTGGTAGTTTATTATACAGTGGGGCCTCTTTAGCACATGTTACCTCCACCTCTGTTGACATTCCGGAATTTTTGTCTTCTGGTCAGTCCATGATCACTTCCAAGATTCCTGGACAACTGGGATTTCCTATTTGAACTCATTGTGTGATGGCTGCAATCCACTTACTCCATGTAGCATCAGCTGCACGATGCTACACGAGAAGACCCTGCCTTTAAACATCCAGCCTGGTCGGGGTGCCAGGAGGAGCTGTGCTTCAGCATCAAGCACCTCCAAAGTGGCTCGAGCCCCATGATTAGCTGCCAGTATCTCTTTTTCAGCTGAAGTATAGCAGGCCTCAGATCCTCTATATCCCCAATTCCAAAAGCCTAAGGGTTGACAGTATAGAGCACATTGCTGCTATTTTGTTGATCACATCCATTGAGATCTGCCAACATCCATCTTGCCACTTTATTCCCAAAAACCGAACCTCCCATGTGGGTCCCTTGACCTTTATTTTATGACAAAATCAGCTTTCAGAACGATTTGGACTATTTTCTTCCCTTTTACAAAAACTTCTGCTGCTCTATTGTCCCATACAATAATATCCATGTACTGCAGGTGTTCTAGAGCTTCACCCTGTTCCAGTGCATTCTGGATCAGTCCACGGCACATGAGAGGGCTGTGTTTCCACCCCTGGGGCAGTCGATTCCAGGCATACTGGACATCCTTCTAAGTGCAAGTAAATTGTGGCCTGCCCAAGGGATTGAGAGAAATGCATTGGCAATATCTCTTGTGGTAAACCACTTGGTGCCTTTGACTCCAGTTCGTATTGGAGTTCCAGCATGTCCAGTAAGGCAGCACTCAGCCAAGGTGTGACTTCATTCAGGCCACAATAGTCCACTGTTAGTCTCCCCTCTCCATTATACTTTCACACTGGCCATATGGGGTTATTGAAGCTGAGTGGGTCCTGCTGACTGCTCCTTGACTCTTCAGTTGAATCACAGGAGTCTCGATTGGTGCGATGATGCCGCCAGTGCAATGTTGTGGTAGCAACCAGCATCTGTTCTTTGACCTTCAGCAACCTACAACAGAAGGGTCCTCCAAGAGACCATGCAAGGCAGGCAGCTGCTTAACTTCCTTCACCTCCAAGGTTGTACTGAGCACCCACCGGTACTGTTTGGGTCCTTGAAATACCCTCTCCTGAGATAGTCTATGCCAAGGATAAACAGAGCCTTTGGGCCAGTCACAGTGGGGTGCTTTTGCCACACACTCCTAGTCAGGCTCACTTCAGCTTCCAATACAGACAGCTCTTGGGATCCCCCTCTCACTCCAGAAATAGTAATGGGTTCTGCCCCTGTATAGCTGTATGGCATTAGGGTACCCTGTGCATTGGTGGCTACTAGAGCATTATACTCCTGTGAGCCTGACATGCCAGGCCACAGGATGTATATAGTCCAGTAAACTGGCATACGATAACGCACTCTGTACAAATTTCTGCTTTGTGGGTCACGTGCATTGGAATTCTTTTGGATCTGTGGGTGACTGTGCACTGCCTGGGTCATAATAAATCATCTCTAACAAGTTAATTCCCCTCAGGTGCTGAACAACTGTGGTGGCCTACTTGCCTGGGTGACAAGTAACATCTTCCTTGAAGGGATGCCTTTTTCTTCACACTCCACAGTAGTTGCCTCCAGAAGCTGAGGGCTTGTGGCCCTTTTCCACTCACCTTGTCAACGGCCCTTTCTCTAGAAGATGATCCCAGCTGCTTGGTCTACATACCCCTTAATTCCAGGCTACTAGCCCCGTTACCCCAGAGTCAGAGCAGCCAGGTGGTAATGTGCTCACCTGGTCAACAGCTGAAACGTTTTTGCATATCCCACAGCTCACTCCGGGATAGGGATTAAGTGGTTCCCTCTTATTCTGCCTCTTCCTCCTGTTCTTATGATGGCCCTGCTTTGCCCTCCTTTACTAAATGAGTTCTCTTGTGTCCACTTCTTCTGGTGAAAAGGAGTGACTGATACTGGCATGGGCTGGTCCTCTGGTTCAGTTGCATCACCCTTTGCCAGGGTCTGAGCAGCCACAGTGCCTGTCACTGGATTTGAGTAGCTGCAAATAGTTGCTTAACCCTAAACAAGACCTGGCACCCATTCACGGTTCCTGGCAATAGGGCCATGCTGGTTTCTACAGCCCAAGGATATTCAAAATTTTCAAGAGCTATTTTTATTAGCCTGGCAGAGAAGGGGAAGATGTGGAATCATGTCTCCTCCATAGGACAAGTTAATTCTTAGGGGATGAAATGGAAAAAGTCTAATTATTAATAGTTTCTAATACATGGCTCGCAAAGTACAGAGATGACGGAAACACTGAGTACAAATACCAGATTAGTTTTGTGACCAGCAATTCTGTCATATCATAAGCCAGTGTTCATAGATTCACTGAAAGGTTTGGGTTGGAAAGGACCTTAAAGATCATCTAGTTCCAACACCCCTACCATGGGCAGGACAGCTTTTACTAGACCAGGTTGCCCATGTTAAAGTACAGCATGATAACCTTAGACCAAATCCCACAGGTGATAAAAAGCACAACAGAGAGCACACACTGCAAGTAACTCTGAGAACAAGCAGAACAGCTCTGAGAGCACAAAATCAACATTGTGACCAGTGACTATTAAACTAATATAATGAATGATTATAATAATTTTGTTCTAGTAAATCTAGTCTGTTTTATTATCTCAACCCATTAAGCCCCAGGATAGGTGACAAAAAAAGACTGTTACAGTTTAACCTCAGCTGGCAACTAAGTACCACATAGACATTCACTCACTCCTCCCCCCAACCCAATGAAACAAGGGAGGAGCATCAGTAAAAAGGTAAACCCTGTGGATTGAGACAACAACAGTTTAATAACTGAAATAAAGTAAAATGTAAAAATAGTAATGGTGATAATGAAAAGAGACAAAAAAAGAGAGGAATAAAGCACAAGAGAGACAAGTGATGCACAATATAATTGCCCACCACCCACTGACCAATGCCCAGCCAGTCCCCAAGCACCACTTGGCCCCTTCCGGCCAACTCCCCCCAGTTCGTACACTGGGCATGACATTCTGTGGTATGGAATATCCCTATGGCCAGTTTGGGCCAGCTCTCCTGGCCATGCTCCCTCACAGCTTCTTGTGCACATCCTCACTGACAAAGCATGGGACACTGAAGAGTCCCTGATTTACAGTGAACACTACTTTACAACAACAACAGTGCATTAATGATATTCTCATACTAAATCCAAAATGCAGCACTGCACCAGCTACTAGGAAGAAAATTAACTCTATCCCAAGACAACAAGCAACGTGCAAAGTAAGGCTGTCAAAACCCACTCTCAAAAGAAAAAATTTTTTCCATTGAAACATTTGGTAGAGTGAACAGACTGAGCTTCTACTGAAAAACAAAACATTCTAACTTTCAGACTTTTACTGGATTCCTAATTTCATTTTTATCTCCTTATTCAAAGAGGGACAGACAGGGACAGAATTCTGTTTTGTTTCATTAAATTTAATAAATCCACGGGTTTGTGTTTATTCAACATTTACTTATTCATGGGCTACAGAAGGACTATTCTATAGCATCACTGCTGCCCCTGGAAAATTTTGGTTCAGAAAAGCATCCTGGGGTTTTGGAGTGAATCACCACCTTCTCCCTTGGATTGGTACATATTTCAGCACAGTTCTGGCCAAGTGAAATAAATTCCTTTCACAGGCAATGGAAATAAGAGTTTCTTTCCAGAAGCTCTGCTTCATGTGTTCAACAACTGCATCCTACCTGCTAAATGGGAACAGACATGTCAAGATTAATCTGTGGTCCTCCAGATAGCTTTGAATTTTAAGTGTGGTAGGAATATTTGGTCAAAAAGGCCAGAGTAATTAAGTCTGAAGTAGACCATACAAACAGTGTGTTAGGTAGTTGGAGGGACCTGAGCTTCAACTGCCTCAATCTGCTGATGGGCTACTAACAAGCTATACTGCTTTTTTATTATAGAGATATGTTCTGTCATCACCAAACACAGACAATTAAGAGAAAAATTAAACACTGACTGTAAATGATAATAAATTCCTTCACAAAAACATGCAAAAATTTGTTTTAAAACATAACATAACCTTAATCAGTGGGATCATTTAATATGAAATATGAATGAAGTTGGGTATTATACATTTAAATTAAGGAGCTATTTTTAAAACAAAGACTTCTTGTGATACTTGTCATTTTTCATCTTACAGTCACTGATCATATTCAATGGTGATCAATCTCACAATGGAACACTGC